CAACTAAAAGTCGCATATAATTAACTCCACATATCTTTTTCTTCGCCAGAGGCACTGATTCAGTAATATGTTGGTGCACTTGTGCGAATAAGATTCTACCATAGAATTCGCCGGGTCAAAACATATCTTCGCCTTTTAGTTAGATCCCTTGATGTGCATTTCGACTGGGTTGATTGTCAAAGGCCTGTGCACCTCCTTCTTCCTCTGCCCCACTCCCCTTCTCCTCCTAAATCATTTAATAATTCCATCGTTTTCGTATCCAGCTATTTATAGACCAACTTTTACACTATATGGTAAGATAATTCTTATTCTCAATTTCATAAAACTTCGATCTGCTCAATTAGATAAAAGGACAAGGTATGCATAGAGTCTCACTTAAAGTTTCCATACTTGTACGTGACTGCGATCTTACTCAATTCAACTTGTAACCTCTAGCAAATTAAGATACTATTCCCAGCGCCAATATCTTGTAACCACCGCGCGTTTAACAATATCTGTAATGATTAATAACTGTTCTGTCGCACTTTATAATAACACCTACCACGCTTTTTAATAATAATACAAAAAAACCTGTCGCACTTTGTAACAACGGACCAACGCATATGAAAAAATGAGCTGTCGCACTTTGTAATAACAGTATTTTTACCTTGTAATTAATTTGAAAAACATTAACGGAGGGAAGAATTCGAGAATTATCATCATCATTTTTATTATTATGATCATCGTTATCATTATTGTTATGATTGTCGTTGTTAACAAGAATGACGTTTGATCGTTGGGTGTACTCGCCCTGAGCATTTATACCAAGTTAATTACAAAGTGGGACAAATAAGTCTTAATAGAAAGGGCGACATTTTACTTTATGAGAAATTGCAATGGTCAGTTATTTCCGCTGAAGTGAGACAGCTTTTTTCATTGCAAAGTGAGACAGTTTTATTACAGAGTGCGACAGGTTTTTACAAAATGCAGCAGAAGAAAACTTCTGATCTCTGTCCTTTCACGAAGCTTACCCCATAGACGATTTTGGCTTGGACAGCGCAAAAACAAACGAACAAACAAAAACATAGAAAAAAAAAAACAAAAGCGAAAGCAATATGAGAATTATAAAAATTACCTTGACACACCTCTCCCAATCCCTTTTTTCGGGAAAAAATTAGTGTCCCCTTTTTTTTTTCTGTAAAAGGTCGAGAAGACCTGTTATAACAAGAGCGACGCTTACTTCATTTCTACAGGGTGGTGGTAAGTAAGTATATGTGTAACTAAGTCCTTTATTTTAAAACGATAGTCATTAGGGCTGTGATACTTGTGGGGTCTTTTAAAATTTTTCACAACCTCGTCTGTGCCTGTTCATAAGTCCGGCCAAGCCTCCATGGTTATTGGCCCCCGTAACTTTGGCTTATAAATACAGGCGTTTAGTTGTACTTGTAAAACTCCCTCAAGAAGTCTATGACAGACGAAACGCGTCGGGGAGTAAAGAAGTTTTGCAACTACTGTTTGCAGAATTGCTGCTCACTAGTTTATTCAAAAGAAAAAAAATAAAATATGGAAAAAAAACTAAAAATAGCAAAACGACATATCTAAAAGGTGAAATTAACTAAACGTCTTGAAAACTACAATATTTCGATCTTTTAACTTAGTTTATAGATGTTGTGTCAACGTCTAGAAGATGTTTTGCAATATTCTACAAATCAGGGAGATTTAGAGCAATTAGAAGATAGACCATTTGGCATTGCAATTGTCTTCAATTCCTAAAACATTATTGAACTTCCTTGCACTGTTAAATTGTTCTAATACGTTTGATCAAGAGAAATGAAGGAACAGAGAAAGAGACTATTGGTCCAAGCCTTAGGACGAATGCTAATTTCACAAAAGCTACTGATAGTTTTCAAGCAGCTGTCTGTTTTCCGAAAGCTTGTCTGGTCATCTACGCTCTCCCACAGTTTGAGTGAAACCTTCATATTATCAGACGCCCTGAATCTCCGTTCACCATCCGTGTCCAGTCCCTGGATGCCAAACACACAGACATAAAACAATACTTTTTTTCATTTCCAGCTATATGAGGAAGGGCTGAAAACTGGAATCATCATAAAATGGTTCTTAGCACGCAGCACCTCATTCCAGAAAACGTCCTTATTTCTTACTGCATAAAGCTCAAAAGAAGCTTGAAAATCATGCTGCCTTGGGTCTTAAACTGCATTTTGCTAAGTACCAGAATTTT